TGTTCCTATGAGTAACAAGTGTTACAACTAAAAAATCCAATCAAGAAGTCATTTCATTAATAGTGACTTGATCTTCTCCTGAAATTTATCAATTTTTCAAGAAACAAATGTGTGAATTATTTTTGTACATAAAATGTTCTTCATCCAAAATACGAATCTTTTTTTTTGTTATCATTATGTAGCCAAAATGTTACAGGATTTTAATCATGGTTAGAACCTCTATTTCTCACTTATTAACTTGTAATGATAGTGGATAGGCAATTACATTTTTTGTTATACTTATATTTTATGCCATTATACTTAATTTTTTAATTAGTCATTTTGATGTAAGCCTAAAAAATACCTGCAATTTTCATAGTGAGAATTTTATCTAAACATTCTAAAAGTAGGTCTATGAAGAATATTATTCAAATCAAGAAAGTAATACCACTCTTACAATCGAATGTTTGTTATACATAGGTCACAGCACCTAACGAGCTGCAGAATACTAATATATCTTTTATATTATAAATAAAATTATCTTCTTCTTCCTCTGCAACTTCAATACTCTTTTTATCTTTAGCAGGATTCCCTTCCAGCTTCTTAAATCTGAAGTGCATGATTTTAAATCTCTTAGTATATACGATTAGTTTCATTGAGCTTATCCTAATCTTCGGGAATTAAAAACGGAATTACTTCACTAAATCCCAATCATTACCTTAAAGTAGGGTAGGGGATATCGAAATCGGTAGGAAACATGAAGGATAATGAACACTATTAATTTAAAACAATTTTTGTGGAATTGCAAAAATACTGATGAAAATTGTAGAAGATATTTTGTATGTAATAAAGCACTCTAGAGTTTAGTTTGTCACCACAGTTTAATAGAAACCAAAGCTAAGAATAAGCAGTCATAACCTTGTGTCAGATTAGCATCCTACTGTAGAAATTGAATTTTTGAAAAGAATTGTTGGGATAAATATAGAACCAAAATAACAACTACAAACAGAGTGCATGAAATAAGTACAATGAGTATCGACGTTTCGAATGACTCTTGTTCGTGTCTTGTGGTATTGGTACAAGTTCACAGTCTCTACAACGTAGAAGAAAATTGATATGTTTGGTAAAGTGAACTAACTACTTTGTTGTAAACACTGATGCTGAATAAGAATAATAGCCTTTTAGATAACTAAATACACAATCGAATACCTTTGTTCAATGCATCCTGTAATATAAATATACGATATTTCATTTTACATCATGTATGTACATCTTTCTGAGTTATACTAAAATTTAATTAACTAGGCTAATAAACAAATCTTTATATATCTAATTAAAGAAACAATCTTCTGACATAGTTTTGTTAACTCTTTATTCTCAACTAGTGCCATCTAGCGACTTTGTAGAAAATCTTTAATTAAGAGGAAAAGTTAATAAAAGTTGTTTGTTCGTTTGTTGGAATATCGCGCAAAGCTATTTCAAGACTATACAAGCTAGCCTTGCCTAATTATGAAGTGACAGATAAGAGGGAAGGCTAATAATCAACACCACCCACTATCAACAATATAAGACTAAATTGCGAAATTTAATAAAAAATGATAGTGATATTTACAAAAACTGGTACACTCAAGAAGAAAGAAAATTTTCAAATTCAAGAAAATCCATAATTAGAATTCTTTACGAAGGGATTTTCACTTTTTTGGGGGTGAATGAAGAATAAGCTACATAAATATGATGTAATTTCGAAGAGGAGAAAAGGATGTATGCTGGAGGTTTGAAAAATGATACAGCCAAAAGTTCCACTTACATTACAAAAAAAAATTGTTTATATCAGTATTGTACCAGTTGAGTTATAAAATTTAATATTTAACAGGTTTTTCTGATAATCATCCTTACAGGCTTAAGTAAGAATTTGAAAATATTCGGATTTATACTTATGTTTGTTTGTTTGTTATGAATTTCGCGCAAAGCTACACGAGGGCTATCTGCGCTAGCTGTCCCTAATGTAGCAGTGTAAGACTAGAGGGAAAGCAGCTAGTCATCACCACCCACCGCCAACTCTTGGGCTACTCTTTTGCTAACGAATAGTGGGATTGACCGTCACATTATAACGCCCCCACGGCTGAAAATACGAGCATATTTGTTGGGATGGAGGATTCGAACCCGGGACCCGCAGATTGCGAGTCAAGCTCCTTATACTTATGACTCCAGCTTACATTTTTATAAATAATTTTGAACATGTTGTTTCATGTGTATATTTCAAAGTAAAAGACTTAAATGTATGTTATTGGAACCTGTTATCTATTTCTCAAATATCGTTATGACTGTTTTACAAAGTTAACATCAATGTCATCCTAAAAACAAAAGTGGAACACACACACAAGATTAACAAAAATAAGTTTTACTGTAATAGTTGTCTATAAGTTAACATTTTTCTTTTTGCTTTAAAAAAGTATCTCTTTTTATTTTGCAATTACTTAACTTACATAAAATAATGGTAACAGTTTTAGGAATATCGAAATCATATAAGATCACCCAAGGCAATTTAAAATTGCTTACTGAAAGTTTATCTATGGTTTTAAGGCTTCGAGTATATACACTCATTATGTTTTACGTCGCAAGTAACCTTTAATTTTTAAAATTTAAATACATATTAAACACAATCAATATATTTATAAACTCTTAGATACCTATTATATCAAAATACTTTATACTTATCCTCAGATCAGAAAATAACATTACAAGAAGCTTTTATTAACTTTCAAGTTAAAAAAAAAGATAGTTTAACTTCATCATTGTTAGCTTAATTATAAAAATAATGTAAACACAAGTATAGGGCTCCCACAAAAATTGTGCTCATTAGTATACAAAGTACAAGGAAAAAATTATCTCCTAACAAAAAGTTATGTAGGGCTGGCTATTGAACTTGAAAAAAAGAACCAAACAAGATAGGGATAGATGTGGACATATCACGTAATTGGCTAAAGATTGCATAACAGACTAAGCTGTCTCAACTTTACATGGACACGACAAATAGCTCAATATGGATTTGATCTAAAACAAACAACCGCAAAATAAAATGCACAATCGATGGCAATTTATTTAAGTAAAATTTTATTGTTTCATATCATTGGATTACAGTAAACCAATGAAGTATACGAACTGTATTTTGAAATTGGATATGGATATTACGTTACACTTGTTACTTTTTTGTTGACAAAACCATGTAATAGGCTCGAATATTGGTTTTCATTTTCGGAACTCATTGCACAGTGAAACAGCTCAATATTGAATGTTAGGTATGTAGTTGCTATTTAAATTACACCTGTAGAACTTGAATATAAAAAATTTATAGTGTAAGCTTTCACATGCACAGTTCTTTGCTGTGTAGATGATACTACTTGAACACTAACATAAGGAAATAACCTTGCACATGAGATGACAACATAAAGTCACCAGTGAGAAAAATATGGCCTAGAGAGGAATATTCTTACTTTCAGAAAAGTCTGAACCTGTGCTTTGTTTATGGTCATTTAATAGGCCAATCTGATGGGGAACGGTTTTCGATTCAACACAAAGGTCAAGTTCACATCAAAAGGTGTTAACGTAATCTGAAGTACGAGAATAAACTGAGGAACGTAGCAAACTCGTTGATTATCTTCGCCTCAGCAAAATTATCATAAAGCCTGCACGATATCGATCTTTATCATTGAAATTTATCAAAATTATTACTATTGCTCCTTCCTTTAAAGATAACTTGTGTGGTGGCATACCAGATGAGGAACTCTAACGTATAATTATTGATCTCCTTTTCATTGTCAAATTGAGTCTTTTCAGCATTGTAATAAATTTTCATTTCTCCTGACACAAGTTTAACACTTTGCTACATTTTCCATTTTGTATACACGCATAGTGTGGTTTCAACTATTCACATAGTCCATGCATCATGTTAGATTTTTCGATATGATGCAGCATAGGTTTTGTATGTGGATCAGAAATTTCTACAGAGATAATAACAACTATGTGATAACCATCTCGCAACTTGTTTCCAGCTGATAAATGCAAGAGGACGTGACATTGAGGAAGAATACACTTTTGAAGTTAAATGACTTGAGCTCGAGCTACAGCTATTCCCAAGCCATGACAGTCACACATGTCTTTCAGAACTCTTTCATCTTCTTTTCGAGGATACAAGTCAGAAAATCAGGTTGATTGGATGGCTGTTGCCTTTCTTTCAAATCCTCTATTATTGCTTACCATTTTGGGTTGTACATAAAAGTAAAAAACACATTTATTTTACCATACTTGTAGATGATGGAATGGGATCTTGGTAATTTTACAGCAAAGCACATAGAACATCCGTAAAAGAGAGAGTGGTAAGACAACAGCTCTATTTGATTGAATGTCATTTATGTGTGCTTGGTTATCTAACTTATCTATGTGACCACAGTACTGTTAATATTGTTATGTATTATGTATTAATAGGTACAACAGAGATGTTGCTGTGCATTCAATTTAAAGAAACACATTATGTGTTAATACGTACTTGCTCAAACATGCACTAAAATTTTCTTTATAGGTTATAGCCCTCACAATAAGAAATCCGAAAATCTTATTTTAAACGAAAAAAACACCAGTAAACGTTTACCACACAAAATTTAAAATTTTTAGTAATGTCAAATTTTTTTACAACTCTTCAAGCCATTGCTACCCGAAAAAATTCGAAGTTTCTATTTTCCCTAGAGTTTAAATGTATACTACAAATGCTAAAACGTATTACAGAATTGACAGTAACAATTAGCTAAAACTTACATCTATAATTAGTTTGAAGAAGCTGTTATTTCGCCTGTAAATATGTAACTGTGGGATGTGTTTCATTGCACAGTCGATGAGAAGGGTTTATCCAATATATATATATATATCCAATATATTTATCGTGTTTTCATTTTTCAGAAAGGAAATTATGCTTAAATATTATTTAAAACTTCTTTAACATAAAATCACAGAAAACGTACAATTCAAAAATTTCAGAACTATTTATTGAATGGCACTATGCTTTCACGTTTCTTCTTACATAGGTAGCGTTAATCAGATTCCAATTTGCCTTTGTGATAGCTTTTATATATCCTGTATATTATTAGTGTTATAACTAAAATCCACTAAATTAAAAACAGTTGCTTACTTAATTAAGTTTCTAAATCAAATGTGGCTAGTAAAATGACTCAGATACAATGATATCACACACATATCAATGGTTCTTAAACAACAAGCATAACAGCAACCATATAACATAGGTTGAAAAATGTCCTTCGAACAGCAACGTACCGAGTTATCACTACTTTTTTTAAATATATTCAAACAAAAGTATGCAATTACAAGGTTGAAAGCTCAAAAACATATGTGTCAACCCAGAAAAGATGTTCAAATGCATATATCATTCCTGCAACAAAACAAAGCATAGTATTATATATGGCAAAGAAAACACTTTAGAGACTCCAAGAGCCGTCTTTGTTGGCTTTGAAATGAATAGAAATGTTTCCGTTATAACTCCGAAAATGTCCAGGTCTAAAGTTTGTGAAAATACGAGATATCTAAACAAATTAATAACTTAAGAAATAATATCCAAAAGACAACCTACCTTATAATTTACATTCTGATATGCTACAGAATATTGGATTGTTATCTACAGAAATTTGTATCACAACCTAATAAAAGTGTAATGTTTCTAGAGATAAAAAGTTTACACGCTAAACTGAAGAAATTAACAAATTAACCAAATTAATTACGTTTAACTTACATTCACTTTCGGTTACTTTGAGTATAAAAACTTAACAAAATTGGGGAAAGAGGCTTATTCCTCACATATACAAGAGAAGAGCAACACGAATCAAATCTGACTAGACGCCAACGAAACCTGCTTTTACCTGCCTACACTTACGATTTCAATTCTCATTTTGAGTATTCCTAATCCAAATACGATGTCATAAATATCGATCATTCACTATGAACATCGAGTAATTTAAAATTGGATTTCATTTACTGAAAACAGAATAATCTACGTTTTGAAATTATTTAACGAACCAGGGTAATTTGTTTTTAAATTAATTTAGTTTGCTACATTTTAATACGTTGTTCATTTGTTTGTATATGCTTTCAAAACAAATATTAAAAAATCCTCAAATTCCTTCCTCGCTTCCAGTTGAACACCTATCACAAAATATATTTTATAATATGGAAACGTGGCTATGCTCTAGAAAGATTTCTATACAATGCAAAAAACAAAACAAAAACTAATGAATTGTTAGACTGCGTTTCCTGAAATATTGGTTATCAACAGAAAATACACGATTTTCTGTATGCCCAAAGAATATAGTAATTAAATTTGTGACTGGTACGTTGATTCGAGAAAAATAAATATGCTTAGGAGGCTCTGTATAAACGTGTAATAGTTCTCAAAAAAGATACGAAATATGTAGCCAAAATCTAATAAGATGCAAAAACTTTAAAAGGAACGTGTAAGGTGGAATCAGGTTTTTAATTTACTCCCAACACTGGTAACATAACAGAACACGATAAACGCATTTTTAGACGGTAAAAATTAGCAAAATACTATGTCTGCAATAATATATAAATAAAATAATGCACAGATATTAACCATGATGCAAATACTTATAAGTATTAGGGAGGATTATTTTATATAATAAAAATGTAACTCCTTTTTTGATAAGAGAAGACGGTGAAATCCAAGTTGTTATTCTTTAAACACTTACAGACTTTATTCTGATATAGATGCCACGTTTGTTACAATGATTTTATCATCTCTTAGAAATACAAAAGACATTAAGTATTCATTAAAAGTTTGTAGACGGCTTAACTGACTAATGAAGAAAACTTTGCTTTAAATGTACAACGTTTGGACAAGATTAGGTCATCATCAAACGTTGTACATTTAAAGCAAAATTTTCTTCAATAATCAGTTAAGCCGTCTACTAACTTTTATTTTCTAAAAAGTGAGTTCATCGTCATCAAAATTAAGTATTAGGGTTTCCCAAATTGTGGGACGCGCCTTTTTAGGGGTCGCAAATGATCTCTTGGGGGAGGAGCGAGAGATTAGGGTAGAGTCAATAATGCAAAATTAAGCATGTTAATATATTTCCATTGATGAAAATAACAAGTAATTACTACAATACATATAACATTTATCTCGTCATTTAACTCACTATTTTACTCATTTAAAAAAGATGGGCGTGCGCAAAAAACATATTTATTAAAGGAGTGACGTGGAAGACAAAAGTTTGAAAAACGCTGCATTGTATTATAATTTTAAAACTATGGCTTGACACAAAAGTTATGACTGTTGCTAAAACTTCAGAATCCTTTCATAAATGCACTGAAGATGGAAAGCAAGTACTACAACTATCTACAGTTATGTACACAACCGTATGCTGCTCCATTCCCTTATTCGAACGAAACGTCCAAATGACTTCAATCAAAACTCAAGTGTTCTCAAAAAGCTTTGAAGTGATGAAAATAACTTCTCAATATTTAAGGATCACATATTTACCTTTTTAAAGGTATTTAAATACACAACATGTACTCATTATTAAGTTATATTAATAATACATGTCCATGCTAATGTTTCTGGTTGGCTACTTAGAAGACTTAGAACTGACTGGGACATTAGTAATTATCTCTCCATACCACAACCAACTAGACTTTTCTACCATTCTTCTTGACACACCTAATACAAAATAAAATTCAAACAATTAGTGAAACCTTTGGTACGGCTAACATAATAGAATTGTCAGAAAATACTTCCATTCTTGTTAACACACCTAATACAAAATAAAGTTAAAACAATTAGTGAAACCTTTGGTACGGCTAACATAATAGAATTGTCAGAAAATACTTCCATTCTTGTTAACACACCTAATACAAAATAAAGTTAAAACAATTAGTGAAAACTTGGGTACTGGCTAACATAATAGAATTGTCAGAAAATACTTTGGTTGAATAGATTCAGAAACAACAGAAGAACTGAAAGAGACATAATAAGTTACAGGTATTCAAAAAATTAATAACAATTCAAATGTATGCCAGAGAAATTAAATTATGTATCGCCAAAGTTTTCTTCTGAATCCATAAGCACTGTTCAGAAATTCGTAAACTCATCTTCATTTTTATTCAATACATACACTGTAAATTATGTACTATCCTACTGAGTAGAAAACGCATATTTACGTATTTCTGTAAGTTAGTTTGCAAATATTTTATTTTCAAGATAAGTCCAAATATTACCATATGTTGTTAAACTATATTACCATATGTTGTTAAACTGCTGTCTTCTCCAAGGATTTCTGTTCGTGAAGAAGCTTTTCTGCGGTAATCTGTTAGTAATAGGAAAATTATATCCATTTTTGTTTTCAATTATATACACACAAAACAGTTAGCTACAGATTTACACTTTAGAATAATTTGTCTCTTTCTAAGTAACAAATGTAACACAATTGTTCAAATAAAACTAAATCCTCATATCTTTTTATTACATAACAAATAATAATAACTTTATTTCAGACAATTTAAGCCGCTGACCACTAACATTCAAATAGATTAAGTTTAAAACCGACATTTCTTTAATGTTATATAAAAACCTTTACGAGTCATCTTTGCTTCATTCTCAATATTTTTACGTTTTGAGTTTCAATAATGAATTATGCTTATCATGACTAGTTTTGATATAGGAATATATATATATATATTATTTAATTCATTAAGTTGTTAATAAACAAGGATAACATGATACACATCTCCAAAAACTTTTACTTCATTGTTTAAGAAATAATTACAATATCTTTGTGCTGCATCTATATTTTAATAACGGCTTATTTCTGATTCAAAGTTATGATTTCAGTTACGTAATTTTGCCAATGCTGACGTTTAATCTACTAAATTGTGTGAACAAATACCTTTATGGTTGTAAAAATGATTGAAGATTATAATATGTATCAAATTTATTACAATCATCTAAATCTGAATACCAGTTTTGGATCTAAATATCGTGAAGCCTTTGATAAATTATTTTGTAAAAAGTTTTTCACTTCCAATCTGTTGTGCTTTCTGTGAAAAGATAAAGCCTTATTTTACTTGCCTATGTTACTCTTCCTTTTTCGTTTAAGCATTTAATCATATCATAATACGCTTTAGTGAACCTACTACTTTCCATCTTTATAAGCTTAAGCCAATACTTTATGCATCTTACTTTATACTTAATAGGTATCTGATAGTAATATTACATAAAGTAAACAAAAACTTTGTTTGTTGTTTTTGAAGTTAAGCACAAAGCTACACAATGGGCTATCTGTGCTCTGCCCACCACGGGTATCGAAACCCGGTTTCTAGCATTGTAAGTCTCTAGACATACCGCTGTGCCACTGGGGGGCAAATAAAACCTATCATGCTTACTTCTTCTCTTCAAAAGATGCAGCTTACGTTTCTATTGCGTATTTTAAATATTTAAATTTTTTGTAATAGTTTGTAATTTTATAGCTTGAACGTCTATGTCACTAATTATGGATTGCTATTCTGATTCTAAGAACTTATGAGTGAAAGCAAAGAAGAACGTGTTATAATAATCTACAACATTACATGTAGCATATCTAGTGCAGACTGTGTTATGACAAACATAATAGTAGTCTAAACTATTTATACTCTCAGCTTACATGAATAATGACTGTTATGGTGTGAACTAGATTAAGTAACTGAATTGTAATTAATATCAATTTTATTTCAGTCATTTAGAAATAAGATTTGATTTTTTTAGGTTAAGAATTAATAACCCAATATTATGCATATATTTCATTATTAACACCGATTACTATGTTTATTATTTTATTTGAATTAACTTCATTGTCCTTCAGAAGAACTATCGAACCAACAAGTTATGTAACAATTATACAAACATTGATGCATTAACAGAGTGAATAATTTGTGACAACTAAGACATAACTTTGAGTATTAGGAGTTTGGTCAGGTGATAAAAGTGTTTGTTTACAAAGGTGAGAAGCAAAGTTTCAATCCCTACATTTTTATTAGCATTGTTAAAGTTTTTTTTTTGGCATATCTTGTTTATTTCAAACTTTCAACGCATATTTCAACAAATAACTATTAGCGCATAACCGTCCTTAACTTAGAACTGATAGACCGCAGCAAATAAAGCTATTGAACAGCACCCACCGTCATCTGTTGGGCTACTCTTGTCTAATCGAATAGTGGAATATGACTATAACTCTTATAGCGCAAATACGGTTCCAAAGAGAGGTTTTTAATAAAGCACCATAAACCATTAACCCTCGTATTTACATGCCAAGCACCCTAACCACTAGTCTACTCCAAATCGTAAGTTTGTACATTTAAGAAACTGCTTCATATTCATAAGTATCTGTTTCGTATCTTTTTACCGTACCAAGTTTCAAAGAACTCTTTCATTCGCTATATGTCGAGCTTACAAAAAGTAAACGAAAGTAGTCTTTTAAATGCATGCTTGATACAGCCAATGCCATATTTTTATCGAAATATTTAGTCCTGTATTTTATATGAGTCCTACATCTTTGATATTAAAACCATTTAAAAAAACTTGACTTGAGCTTTACGAACAATATTTAAGAACTTCAACGTATCGCTTTTAAAGAATACATTTCTACACTTGATGGTAGAGCTTGTAAAATATCAGTTAAAAAAATACAACTTGTATATATAAGTAAATAGTGCTAATACTATAAATAACATCAAAAGTATATAGGCGATAAACATCAGCACTATATAACATTGATAAAAGTTAGCATAAAAATCAAAACCTAGGTGGTGTTATGATACTAAAAATAAAACTGTCCATTGTCATGATCCTTTAACTTATAACGGAAAGCTTTCCCCTTTGTACATACAAATATAATAATATAATCGAGATGTGTGTTATCAGTCGAACATATATATATACACTTGAACCTAAAACATGATCAAATAATAGCTATATATGCATTATAACGTAGTTTAGTAAAAGTGATAAAAGCAATAAAAATTCACAAATTTCATACCTAACAGTTCAATATACAATTCAGTATTATTATAGACACCTTTGTATACAATTCAGTATTATTATACACACCTTTGTAAAGTAGACAACTAATTATTTCTACACACTCACATGCTCATCTGGATTTTCTTCTATATCGGAAAGTGGATTCAGGGTTATATTGACTACGTTCTGTTCACTGTTGCTTTTGTTTCTCGCTGAATTATGACCGTTTGAGTTGTATTTACTTGAAACGTTGCTGTCAGAAGAATGCCCTAAAACCAGAAACCGTATTTCATTATTACCAAAATAATTAGCTCAGATGTTGACATCTGCAACTATATATGAAACACTGTACAATAGAAATAAAGAATTACGAAAACATTCTTAGGATTTTGAGTATTTTCTCGGCGTATTTTCAGAGTATAAAACGAAACCAGCATCCTATGCAAATAAAGTATAACCGATTTACTTGAAATATTTTTTTGTTTAGCCTAATAAATTTTCATAATGTAATGAGTTTATTACACATTCGCTGGTTTGAAAAGTGTAAGTGTACAAAATATCAGTGATCACTTGTATGATACCTTTATAATGACATCAAGTTTTTTTCTCAGATTCAAGTGAGGTTCAAAATAATCTTTCTTGAATTATAATATTTTTCTAGATACTGCGTTTAATATCTGAAATCAAGAATATTAATCTATGCACACATAGATATATGTATATAGTTCACAAAGTAACTTCCATATATCTCTGTGCAAAGAATGGTTTTATACTTCCTTTAAACTTGTAAGATTATTTCGAGTTACACGCTCTTTAAAGAACTGGCTTTGTAAGGCTCATTACTCTTCAACTCAAATTATTTTCACCTTCTTTATAAATATATATATATTGTTGTATAGGCACTACTCCCACACTTATCTTTCCACGATGACATCGGTTTATAACTCTTACTCTTCGATCTGTGCCTTCATGTTATTTGTCTGTTAGTGTCTGAAACTAAATGTGTAAGGCTGTTTGTTGAAATCGAATTCCTTTTTCGTCCAAGACGTGAATGTTCAAATCAGTATAACTGTTATTTTACACATATCAATATACTTTATATATGCATATAAATATATTTATGACAATTACACATCAACTGTAAGACATTTTTTAACATTACTATTTATCGCGAAAACATAACACAAATTCAGAATGTATAGTGTTAATTAACGACTATCTGGCAGAAAATGAAATGGTAGCAAAATGTAGGAGACCTCTGCCGATTATTTAAACATTTTCACAAGATATAAACATTCTTATGTTACTGAATAAGAAAAGAAGATTTGACAAAAAAAATAACTTATTATAACACCACTCGATACAGATGATCTTATATTTAAGAAATATGAGTATTTGATTCAAATATAATCATTAGTGAGCTGAGTTATTTGTATCTTGCGATATTAAAGATGCTTGTAGGTGGAATAGCCCTGTCGTTATAAAAACCTTACATGCAGGTAATGTTTGTACTTTTACATCTCCTTTCTGTTTGGCACAAGTTCTTCCCATATTATATACATGATCTCACATAAAAGAATTTGGGTAGTTAAAATACAAAAAAAAGAGAAGCGATTTCTATCATTTCTAACTATTGTGTTAAAATATAGATTGAAGTAGAGATTCATCTTTCTAAGAAAATAAAAACATGTTACATAACATGTATAAAATGAAACTTAACATGCAAAAATTAATGTCATAACATGGACAAAATTACTTGTGCACCCATACTTTAATATTTTATGTACCCTTTTCTTTCTTTACAGCTTGTATTATTTTTTGTATTTTGAAACCAGTTTCTGGAATTTATCAGGAGATATTTTTACTAATTCTTAAACATATACAGCTTTGCGTTCTTCAATCAACTCTGGTTTCCATTTTGATACATCAGCCTTCAAGTAAATCCACAAAATATCCATTAGATATTTAAGTCTGGGGAATAAGATAGCCAATCTGTAACTGAAATCTTTCTGTTTTTCTTCTCAGTTCCAGAAATTTATTTGTATACTTTGCAAGTATGCTTACGTAATTATCCTGCTGGAATACAGACTTCCATCAAATAAGCCTTCTAGCACTAGGTAACAAATGAAAGTGCAAAACTTATTTTGTGTATTGCGGCATTCATTGATTCTTCTACAATATGAAGATCGCCAGTGACTGAAGAAGAAAAACAAGCCCATTTCCATCATCATGTTTACCACTGGGTATGATGAGATTTTCTTTAGATTCTTCCAAACAAATTGTTACTTTCTTGTTGAGAAAAAAAGAAAGTTATATTTTGGATTTGTCTGACCATAAAATTTGGTTGAGGAAATTATCAGTCTTCTTCAAATATTCAATGACAAACTACAATCGATTTCTTTTGCGTATTTTCATATTTGTTTTTCATCGCTTGATGATTATGTATTTATTCATTCTATAATTATGGTTAGGTGTTGGTTTTCAATCATGATAATTGTCAATAATTAGGAACGAATGGGTTTCATTATACAAAATATATTAATTGCCTAAACACTTCTGTCAAAGACAAATTAGGTTTTACATTTTTGTTTTCTTTTTATGTATGTTATGTAATAATGTGTTGTTTATTATGAAACTGAATCTATCTACTATATATTTCTATATAGAACAATTAAAAATGATAGAAATCACTTTTCTTGTAATTTTCTCTTTTTTTCAACTGCCCAAATGTTCTAGTTTGCGACAGTACATATTTATGATATAAATATCTAAAAATAGCACTATTTTTAGGAATAAACAAACATATAATTTTGCTCATCATTTTTAAACATACCTAAGAAAAGGAAAACATAAACATTTCAGATGACAGATATGATATTACAGCGTAACAGAGATTCATTTGCACTTTGTGGAAAATCATGTAAATATCTGCTGTTTTCATGATTATATGGCTATGGTTGCGTGTTAGATAATTATCTGTTTCAGATATTTGCACTGAACTAGTTTTTAAAATCCCTCCATAAATTTAATGGTAATTGAAAGTCATGAGACCTTTATTTTCGAAGAGAAATATTCATACAACAAGATTTTTAAAAGGTGGAAAGAAAAGACACATCATTTTGAAAAAAAATAAGTAATCACTATCCTCCATGGAAACAGAATAATTCTCACAGAATAGTTTAGGACTGTAACAGTTTTCGAAACCACACCACAAGCCAGTCACAAGCAATCGCTGTATTTGCAAAGTGAAAGTGCAATTGGGAAGGGCTGAACGTTGTCAGTCGTTTGTGTCTCGTTACTCAAAAACAAACAAAATCACGCTTCGACTTTTGGGGTTATAGGTGCATTATAAAGGTGCCGGTTAAGTCCCAATTAGATAAGACAAAAATAGCTCATGAGTTGGCTGTGAGCTGCTTTCCATCTAGTCAATTAGCTCAAATTAGGGATGGCTATTGCAGTTATCCGTTGAGTAGCTTTGCAAAAAAATCCGAAAAACAAACTAAGAAATAAATTGTTGAGAAAAAGAATCCCCTGATCCAAAAATCCAAGTTGAACGTAGATTCTGGTACCGTGAACAAGAACTTGGAGATGATAAAGGCTCCCACGTCGAACGTTAACAAGTTTCCAGCAAAACTTCTAAATTAATGGTTTAATAAATAACATTTAAAGTAATACCATTCAAACATATACCTATCAAGTTCTTTCATGCAGTTTAAATATACTTCTGAGTCATTATTATGAATACAACTACGTTTGGAAATCGTAGATCTAAAATATTAATTGATTAATAGAAAGCTCAACAGGTTGTTTGGGACAATACTGTTATGGCAGCGTGCCAAAGAACTTGATCTCGGAGAAATACAACTGAGGAGCTCTTACAAAGCAAAAGGGCATGATGAAAGGTCCTGGTTAGTGGATAAGTATTAGGACGTCAAGAAATTAATATCGCTTTTTTTTTTTAGATTAGAAAACACATTTGCATACGTTTACCCATTAAGATGGTGTTGCAGTAAACGAAAAAGATGGTAATCTGATGGTGCCATATCTAGAGGATATGGTGGGTGGGGGAGAACTTCCCAACCCAACTCCATAATCTTGTGTTGCGTCAAACGTGCCGCATGTAGACGTGCATTGTCGTAGAGAAGAACAACACCTTTCCGATTGACGAGTGAAGGGTGTTTCTGATGAAGGGCTTGATTTAAACGTTCCAGTTGTTGACTATAGGTCTCTGCATTAACAGTTCGCTGTGGATTGAGGAGTTAAAAATGAATTTCTCTTTTGATGTCCCACCAAATGCAAAGTATCACTTTCTGTGTATTGAGTCCAGGTTTTGGGGTCGGAAGTGGTTTTTGTCTAGGACTGAGCCATTGTTTTTGGCGTTTAATATTCGCATAGAGAATCCATTTTTCATCCCCGATAACAATTCTGTCCAAAAATGGTTCATGTGCATTATGCGTCAGAAGAGACGAAGCAACATTTACATGTTGGAAACGATGATCATTGGAGAGTTCGTGAGACACCCAAACACCTTCTTTATGGAGTTTTCCCATATTCCTTAGATGTTTACGTATTGTTTCATGAGAGACATGCAATTTCAGGGTCATTTCATTAGGGTGTTGCCTTGGGTTAGACTCAACAAGCATCTTTAGAGCATCAATATCAATTGCAACATGTCGGCCCCTACCATCACAGTTTTTAAGTCTAAAGTCACTTAAAGCAAATTTGCTGAACCATCGCTGACACTTACAAACATTTCCATAAACAATTTTATATTCTTTGTGCCTACAGAGACGTTGTTTCTCTTCTTGTATTCGAACAGCATTACATGCCTAATGTGTGTCTCGTCGTGTGCCATCACTATAAGGGATGATTAGAGTATATTAAACTTTACACATTATATAGGCTACACTAACGTGACGTTTAGGCGGTTCGTTTAACTATTATATGTGATGTACATTTTTAGGGGGTGGTTAATGAAGTGTTCCAAAACGCGACATTAATTTCTTGACGACCTAATAAGATCTTCAGTTCTACTATGTTGAACTTAATTATCTTTTCGAAAAAGTCTAATTGATCTTTTGTATATTTAGGGTTAACGATCTTTTTGTATCTGTGTGCAAACAAAGGTACTTTTGTAAAAAGAAATTTGAAAAAGAAGAGCATAATTTAGTGTACAGTTCTGTATATAAGAGAAAATTAATCATTTTACCACTCTTTCTCCTCTTCTTTATTATCCAGACAGTTAAGAAGACCACAATGAGTAATAGCAGAGCCCCAAATACACCACCAACTACTAAATTTGTTGATTGATTAGTTTTTGCAGTTTTATTGTCTTTGGTGGTTAACGATCCATAAGTATTTTCTGCATCTTTTAATTCTTCTTCACTTTCGAAAGGATTTTCATGGATTTTCTGAAGTAACGAGAAACAAATACCTCACATTAGATAATGTTTACAACCATTGCATAGTCACAACATTGTTAAACAAGCAGTAAAATAAACTGAACCGAATTCTTGAATATCATTTAATATGTCTCAGATAAAGTAATTCATTGTTGTTTTTTCTTACAAATAGTTTTCAAGATAAACAATTTGCACATTTGCTGTCACAAAGCGGTTCATATTTTATTTTTATTATTAATTACACATTACCACAGAGCACTGATTAGATATTAACTCAAAGGACAGTGAGGCCATTTTTGTCAGTAGTATAATTGAATATAAAAAGTAAAGAAAATCATAAGGTTAATTCCGCTATTATAATTAAGCATTAATGAAGAAAAACGAAAACTTAAGCTGTAACGGTTTTTAACATCGTAACTTACAAATAGGAATACCATTTGGTCAACACTAATATCTACAAATAGATTCATACAAACCAATTGTTCGACTGGTAAGGATATTAGAAAATTCGGATGCTCCTGCCATGTTGAAGCTCTGCATTTTGAAGTCATATGATGTGGCTGCTGTGAGGTGAGTGATGTTACAAGATCGTTTTTCAGCTCCCAGAACGGTGACTTTCACATAGTCTCCGGCATTGAGGGTAGATCGGTAGTGGACAAAGAATCCTTCAAGGGGAACAGAAGGATCCGTTTCCGCAAGCTATGAAAGAGAAAAATACTAGATAAGCATATGATAAACTTGAGCTTATCTACTTTAACTTTGTTTTCTTCAAAATACATAAAACTTGCTGCAATATTCATTCCTAAGAACGGTTTGTTTGTAATTAAGCACAAAGCTACACAATGGGCTATCTGTGCTCTGCCCACCACGGGTATCGAAACCCGGATTCTAGCGTTGTAAGTCCGCAGACATACCGCTGTGCCACTGGGAGGCTCCTAAGAACTGAAAACCAGACTTTGTATTTTATAAATCTAGTCGTTCAATTATGACAGTGCATATGCTATTAAACTTAATCAAAAGGCTGAATACATTATATTAAAACGATTTTGAATATGCAAATCAAGAAGTCACGTAACAGCCACAACCGATATCAAATTACAATGGAATGATATGTATTAGAACTAATTTTGACACTGTATGATGTTATATAAGTAGTGTGATACCACTAAAAAGTTATCAATTTTGTGAAGAGTATGTAGCAGCCCTTTAAGACAGAAAATTTTCATACACTTGTATAACAAATTTGCGTTCAGATAGTGGAGCAAGAATGTACAAGACGTGGCTATTTTTTTATTTAATCATACTGAAAACAAAAACAAAAAAATAGAAAAGTAAAATTGAATCAACATGTTGCAGCATGATCATCCAGAAATAGATCTGTAACAATCGTACCCAATCCATCGTAAACAAAGTGTGCCGTCTCGTCACAGGTGAGAATCCAGGAACACAGAGATAAAAGCTGTCAACATGTTCCATGCAACAGTACACAACATAATCAAAAATACTCTCTATTCGGAAAAGCAAAACAACCTACGTGCACACAAGTTGCTTCCACGACATATCTGTTCAATTGTCCTGAACTTCAAGCAGTTGGATAATGGAAGGGCTATTCATGCTATTCAATATGAAGATATGCTGGCCAAGTAACTGGATGAAGCGCTTATTGACTTCTGTGTTATCTAATGAAACGGGCGCTGGATTATGATAAATGTATTATGAAAAGCATGAAAGAAGGAGTAGTGTAGTTTGGACATGACAGCCTTACGATGGAGCATTTTGCAATGTAAACAGCTGCATGGCTATCAAGATACTCGGTCAAGATATTAAGCATGACCAGGCGTGAAAACATGGACTGTAACAACGTGGAGATGGTTTTAAATCGTAGCAATATGACCTATCCAATATTTGTATACCGGTACTCATCTAGCAACAAATAACAGTAGAAAGAGTAATTATTTGGTAACGGAGTTTATAACTAAAAGTAGATTACGTACGACAAACATGCACATGCGTGGGGCCCAGACATATCATAAGATGCCAGCATAACGAATGAGGTTCCTTGAATGAATTGGAAGTACATTTAAGGTTCCTTAAAAGGTGCTAAAATTCCTTAAAACTACTATATCTAAATTTTTCCATTGAAATATGATACATTTTAATTTAGGACGACGTAACATATCAAAGTAAAAAAAATCAATGTACAAAAACAAGTTTTTAATGCTAAGCTAACTTAGTTTTGTAAGGTAGTGCGGTTACATCGTTACTTTAATTATTACACATTATTAAGTTTATGGTTATTCCAAAATTTTAAATATTTCATGCATAAATTACATAAATCGAGATTAGGACTGTCTACACAAATCAAGCGCACACTTGCAATAAAGAAAATTATTCTGTATTTTACATTAACTTGAAGATAGATTGTCATTGGTTGTTAACAATTGTATCAGTCATTAGTCACTTATGTTCGTCGTGATTTGCCTTGAGAATGGTTTTGGCACAGAAGATATTATAAACTGTATTAATGCTTATTGAAAACAGCCAATCATAACCAATTTTCCAAGTGTCGCTAAAAAGTTCATGAATCACATGATTTTAATATGTTACAATTTACAAGTAAATTTTCTTTATTAAGTGTTTATAGTTTACACCTCAATATCCTCGAAAATTCCTTAGAATAAGGAAATTTCCTTGAAAGTGGGGAAGGAAGCAGTGACGCTAATCGCCAGATTACCGCTGACTCAGACAGCAGACTGTTGCATGTGAAGCTAGCTACTAGACAAGCCTGAAATAATTCGTCACTCAATGATTTATCTTTCTTTAACCCTTTTGCGTCCGGCCACATCGGGTATAACCTGGAGAAAATGTGCGACATAATTTGTTTAAACATTATTTTTGATTTTTTTTTCAATAAGTTCCTTTCAAAAATAAAATTAAAATAGAAACGTTGAGATTTAAAATTTTCTTCTGATGTAAGTTTTATTAACATTTGGTTTATATGAAGTAAACAAAAATATGGAAATTTAACACTAATTGTCGATTGTTTAAGTTTCTTCTTGAATGTTATGTTCGTGGTTGAGGGGCCCATAATATTTGCTGTGCGTGGGGTCCAAGGTACAATAAATCTGGCTCTGGTCCTAACCAACACCTACAACAGAAACAACTTTTCTGAATAGTAACTAGATGGCCAGCTCTTTAACAACCAGAAAAAGAAATCAAGAGAACATATACTTTTATAGCCAATTAGAAATTGATGCCTTTAAAAGGTAGAACAAATAGTATTTAGGTTTAAGAAGAATATTTAGCAGGTAACCTTCAACTCCTCAATCAAAGAAGAGTATAAAAGGATTATAAATGGGATTATTTATGAAATCTAAGAGATTGGTGTGTAGGTAAACTAGATCAATAGTAGTAGATAAGAGTATATTGGTTTATGAAAGTGGTAGATAGGCGACAACGTAAACTATGCTTAGAAGAGAAAGTCACAGGTAGAATGGAACAATGACTGTAATAAAACTATGAGGATATTAGTAAGTAGCTAACCACCAAAAGAACACTAATAGTAGGTAAAAGTGAGAAGTATTATGTAGAATTACTGATGGCTGATATACTAATTAGAACACTCAAAAATCATTCAAACCAACTTTCTGTAACTTTTTTATCTGTAAGACAAAGCTTTATGGAAAGTACCTTGTTCGGATTATCTATATATATATTTTGCATGGAAAGTTTGTTTTATTTTCATTGTGGTTTATAATTTCTATACGTGTATATATGATATACATGGTGTCTTATTCGGACTTTTGTATTCTATAGAAAATGTCGATGTGTGATATGTTTCACACTGCAAGTATAATAACAATACTTGTCAGCTAATGTACAAATAATGTTGCTTTTTATATATAATATTTTGTATAATGTAAATGTAATACTTAATTGTTCTGAACGTGGCAGACAGTTGTAAGAACATTAAGGACAGTTTTCGGAATCTTTCTTCTTTCTAAAGGTAATGAGCATGATACTCAATGACTTTGGTCACGAAATACCATTTGAGCTATAATGATCAGACACTTAGGAGAATCAGGATCAATCATGTGATTCACATGAAAGCACGAATCTTACCACATGCTGTGGTTTGAGAGAATTCTAAGTTGTAAAACTAGCTAAAATTAATGATGCACAATATCTGTAGATATATTTCTGGTTATCTTAGTTTTGGCCAAATAAACTGTGAAAACATAAAAAATACTGTAGCTTACGAATGCACAATTTATTGTGTATCATATTACTTTATCATGACGCAATCACTAAAACTTTCAACAATAAAGAACAATAGATTAAGTATTGTGTTTCATATAAGATGTAGGTGAGGATGGCACGTTAGAAAAATATAACTATTGTTCGTATTTTTATGAGAGGTTTAGTTGGTCTCAAAGAAAGAAACTATATTTAGATTGGAAAGTCAGAAAACATTAAAGTTGTTTTATAATGTATTTTTAATCTATGTTTTTGTATTAAACCTGACTAAACATAATGCCAACCCTTAAGCAAGACTCACTACATATAACGACAATAAACACAAATAGCGTTTTATGACACGTTTATCATAATTCAAAGTAATAACAGTTTTTTAGTATAAAAATGTTGCATCCTTTACAATAGTTTACAATGACAAGCTGCTCTTTCCAGGTCTATAAGATCGGCGCATTTCCACTTATTTTGAACTCACATATTTTAAACATCATAAATGATGCTTTTTACTAGCTGCTCGCCAATCACTCAAAGAAGATATCACAGAATAATATATATTGAAGTCAACTCCGAGTTGGAGCCTGAACACAAATCTGTAATTAAGATATACAACTACACATGTTTAAACGAAACAAAATTTAACAACCAAATTTCAATATATTTTGATGCGTTTGAATTCATGGCTTGATATATTCGTGACATGTACCAAGACATCATATGTTTTGGTAAAATATAAGAGATAAAAACCCTTGGTAATTTAAGATTAAACATCCATAAACAAATATTATCAAGGTATTTAGTGTCTAACCAAAACAAAAAACTACGGTTTGTTACTTTTATCTGTATAAAATCAAAAGAAGGTGGATGTGTACGAAATTCAATTTATATTTTAATTAATATTAAGCATGTGTGTGTATTTGCTGTTATTTTTAGCTATAACAGAAAATTTAAACTACAAAAACAGTAAAGATCATCAGTTGAGCAAACAATAAATAAATTCTTCTAGTAAGGGTTTAGTCATCTAAAATCACATAAATCACCAAACATCGTCGGATATTCCTTTAAATGGTAATTCTAACAGTAAATAGTAAGATATATAACACAACATTAACCAGAAGATATTCGGAAATAAGGAGGGGCACTGAAGTTTAACATAAGTAAAGCCATTAAATAAAGCATAAATCAACAGAAACAACCAATCATACTGAAGTCTACCATCCAACATTTCCTTTCAATAGTAAAACATCAAACTGTTATTGGTAAGCATAAACTACATAAGGGGTTGTGTGTGCTATATCCACCACGGGTATCGAAATCAGAATTTTAGCGTTATAAGTCTTCAGATTTACTACTAAACCACGTGAAGGGGGGGGGGAATATCAAAACAATGTATGCTTTATATTTTAGAACAAAAAATGATAGTACTATCAAGAAAAACATTTAAAAAGAAATTGAACCCTATAGAAATGTTAAAATAAAATCTGTAGGAGTCCAAGCCATTTAGCCCCCCAGTGGCACGGCAGTATGTCTGCGGACTTACAACGCTAGAAACCGGGTTTCGATACCCGTGGTAGGCAAAGCACAGATAGCCTATTGTGTAGTTTTGTGTTTAACTTCAAACAAACAAACAAACAAACCCAGGCCATTTTGGTTCTTTGTATTTACATACCTACACATACCATTTGATAATCAAGCCATTTTGGTTCTTTGTATTTACATACTTACACATACCATTTTATAATCAAGCCATTTTGGTTGTTTGTATTTACATACTTACACATACCATTTTATAATCAAGCCATTTTGGTCGTTTGTATTTACATACTTACACATACCATTTGATAATCAAGCCATTTTGGTCGTTTGTATTTACATACTTACACATACCATTTGATAATCAAGCCATTTTGGTCGTTTGTATTTACATACTTACACATACCATTTGATAATCAAGCCATTTTGGTTGTTTGTATTTACATACTTACACATACCATTTGATAATCAAGACATTTTGGTTGTTTGTATTTACATACTTACACATACCATTTTATAATCATTTAATGTTACATGGAGATAAAGTAATTATAGTTTACAAAATCAAGATAAAGATTACGAATTTGCTGAGATATACTTTTAGGGATTGTACTTAAATTTGAATCAAGACGTAACAGCAAAATCTATACGTGACTTCAAGTCTCTAGAGTTTGCACTAGTGAAGAAGTACGATTTTCTTAGATTAAGCATATTCTGTGCTATGATTATCACATTTGGCAGGATGATAAAGTGTCACTTCTTTTGTTGTCAGATCACAGTTTCAAAAGTCTAAAATTTACTTTGAGTTACCAACTAATAAGTCTAAGTGAAACATTGTCTAAGTATATAATATGAACTTGAACTAGTTAAAATATTTTGTCCCTATTATTATTAAAGTATTATATCAAAATTAGCATTAAATTTCCTATTTATTAAATCTTTGTAAAGAGCCTTTATGTTAGTGGCTTAAATTCATGCTGAAACTTACAGAGCAATCTAGTAATAACAATATTGCACCCTTTAATGATAAAACCAAAGAACAATTAGATTTTGTTCGAAGAAAAAAACACATGCATAAAAAATGTAACGTAGCGTTTTAAAAATAAAACATAAATGCTGAAAACAGTCTTGAGTAAACAAAACTAAAATTGAACTAAAGTAGCTTTAAAAGTTGTGGAAAGATGGCAGCACATCATGCCCTTATCATGCGAATAAAAACAAAATTAATTGAGTTTTATATATAAAAAAAAAGACAACTGAAATGATACACGTTAAAGAGAAAGTAATATTATAAATAAAAAGAACAAACTAAAAAACAAAAGGTTGAAATTAAAAATGTTTATGCTTTTGCATCAATTTAATTATGTATTCACCAGTATATTTAAACTAAAAGAAATAACTATAATAATTATAACTATAAAATAATAGCTTTAAATAATTTACAACTATACATAGATAAAGGCACTGATATTAGATAAAAATACACCAGAGTGTTGTTACTACACCTTCAATATACATATAGTCAATCGATCCAATAAAGCTTGGTGATATTTAACATCTTTTTGATTGCAGAGTGAGAACGACCTCTGTCTTCAGAATCGTTAAAGAAAGAATCAGAATCATGCTCACTACATAATTTAGCCAAAATGACCACTCTAAATACGTAGAATCCAGAGAAGTAAAATACCACTGAAAGTCAAGAGAAATAAACAGACTGTGAGCAGTCTATGAGATAATTTGATCAAAATAGATTGAATGAATAAGTAGTGCAAATATAAAAGTACTGAACACAATTTCTTGTTTAAGCAATTGGAGGTGTTTTCATGGTGGAAAGATTTATCTGTAAACTTTCTTAAGTTGACAGAAAGATGAATATAAAACAAAGACAAACCTCACCAAAAATATCAGAACAATCAAACTCAGTTACATATATAAGAAGGAACGAGACTAGGGATGAGAAAATAGAAACTACTGACCAATCGGCATCCAGAGGAAAAGTAATGCGACCTTCAGTACAGTTTGAAGCCCCAAAGAAAATGTTAGACACCCGCGACAGTTTCAAGTGTACGTTTTATAGAAGCGAAAACTAAACAGTCTCTATTATCCAAATCACGGTTTTTAGGCATAATTTATACGACGCATTGAAATATGAGAATACTTGGGACACTTCTACAATAGTAAGCAATCCTAGAAAACTAAAGTAAGTATATGATATTGAGTGTATAGACTCAAGTCTGAGGATCTTTAGCGAAACTAACTAATGAACGCAAAGTCTTACAGAAGCAAAACCACCAAAATACACATATTTGGTGCTGCTAATGACAAATCATTTTCAAAATCATATAGTATAACATCTTACTAAACAAAAAATACTTCCACTTTCATAACTCAATCATTAACCCTATAAAAATACGAAGATACATAATTTTAAAACTTATTCATTTTCAGTAACTTCAGCATACACGTTTTTGTTACCTCGTACTGATAGCCAATACGTGTTGACAAATGCATTTCAATAAAGTTCTGTCCAATCAAAGTATCCAATACATCACATCTTTAATGTATACCTACATCCCAAAGGAGAGATATGTAGAGGCATCCTCTGCTTCAGCTTTCAATATAACCGGCGTAAGAGTAGGCTTGTCCACCTGCGGATTTTTGACCAACGTGTACAAAGATGCTGGTCCAACTTTATTGTCGTTGTTCGAATAGACTGCTGCAATCCTGAACCGATAAGCTGTTTCTGTAAGCAAAATAAAAGTTTTGTTAGAGATTTAATTCAAAGTTTATCTACTTTCGTGGCAAACGCAGTTCCAAAAAGTTGGAATTATAAACACTGGAAAATCGTAACATTTTATTTTGATGTTTGTCTCTTAGAAAAACATAAAAAAATAAAAAAATAGCTCAATTTAGATAATTCAAAAGAACGTAGCGCAGTATGTGTTTTATACGGATCGTGTCTGATGAATAACATTCACTAAGTATTTACACGTGCGTATTACTAATAGCTTATAAGTCACATATCTATAATGCAATATTAAGCGTACAAGTAATTTTACTAACTAAGATAACGTATTTTTGAATAGAGAACGTAAATATTATTGAGTAAAATAAATCACATATTTCGCTGAAGTATTGTGTATGTATGTATGTATGCTATGATTGTGCACTATAAAGAATATATGGTATTGTGTATGCATGCTATGATTGTGCAAGTGAACATTTCAGACCGATAGCTCCCGTGACTTTTCGCGTAGACGAGCACAAAAATTTTGGTCAAAATTGGGCGTTTTTTTAAAAATAACTTTCTATCAAATAAAGTTTCTGTACTTTCGGTTAGAAGTAAAGAAATATAGGAAGAAATTCAATCAAAATTGGAGATTTTACATCATATGTATTTTGTAATGAATTGCCTTGAAATTTGGTATGTGAAGTAAGGGTTCAGTAGAGCACATCCATTGAAAATATGTGACAGTTTGGATTACCACAGTCCGAGATACAGAAAGTGAAAAATTGCTAAACTAGCACTCCTGTTAACAACACACAGTGTGTCCTACAGGTTGTTTTGGCCGCAAGACACACGGTCTTAATTAGGTTTTTCACGTGAGATAGTGAAATCTAAATATATATTTTATTTTATTTTAGGCCAGTAGCACTGCGTAGAAAAGGAACGCTTCAATTATCTGTTCTTTATAATGCACAATCATAGCATACATACATACACAATACTATCTGTTCTTTATAATGCACAATCATAGCATGCATACACAATACTATCTGTTCTTTATAATGCACAATCATAGCATGCATACACAATACCATATATTCTTTATAGTGCACAATCATAGCATACATACACAATACTATATGTTCTTTATAGTGCACAATCATGGCATGCATACATACATACACAATACTATCTGTTCTTTATAAACAGCTTCTCGTAAGAATAAAGGTGACCGTTGTTAGTTTTTTGTCATTCGGCTGATTTAGAGCATCAAACTATAAGGTGAAAGCACGCGCAGGTATATAAGTATTGGTTAGGCCAAGCAAATTAGATTAGCTGTTTCTAGTTCAAGTTTTCAAAAGAATCATGCGGGTGGACGGTTATTATTCATTGCCAAGTTTGGCGGCTAAACTGGTAGCTACACTTATAGCATTGATAATAATTTTACAGCAAATATTTATTCATGAGTTAGCCAGGCCGCGTATTTTGTTCCTCTCACCATTATGTCCCAAGTTGAACAAAAAACGCGTCCTGGCTAACCGATTAAAGCTGTACAATTATTACCAACGCTATCATAATGTAGCTACCAGTTCAGACCCCAATTTTGATTTCTTTCTTTTAAGTTGCACACTCATTCCTTTTTGGCCGCACCTTTTCTTCACACCTGAGGTAGTTTTGATTAGATTTAAATATACAAGATGCATGCATTTGCTTGTACGCTAGTTTTGAAAGATAGACCCTTATTATATACTAATAGACGTTAGATAATTAATTTAAGTGTCTTATTTGTGAATATCTAAAAGTTTAAATGATAAGTAGTGAGTGAAGAACATTACACCATAAACTACAGATTAAATAAAGCACTCTTTATGTACACAAAAATATTGATTCAAAATATTACATAGTTAATAAATACAAAATAAAAGGTAACCTCCACGTATTTATTTATTTTTGAAAGCTTTCAGTTACTGTGTTGTAGTCATCGTCAGGCTAAACTATACATTGTTATTCATTCATTGACTTTTCAAGTGGCCTACTCCTATGGATTGAAGCGTTTCAGTTATAATTATTTCAAGAACTTTTTTTTTCTAAAGCTGCTTTAGCTATTAAGGTTACAATAAGCTCGGCCTAATGACGGCTGAAGGCTTGCAAAAGTTAAATAAAAACATGGAGTTTATTCGTTTATAGTGTGTTTATTAGTTCTCTGCCCACCTGATGAATTTTAAATAATATAGATTAGATAAACGCATGAAGTATTATATATATCTACTAATATATTATGAAAGTTATTAATTTCTGTTTGTGCATATTATTACGAAAGCGTATTTCGATAAAGTGTCGTGCAATTACATATTATTACCGATGGAAATAATTTTTCTTATTTCAATGAAATGTTGTACATATTATTGCTGATGGTATTTAAATGAACTATTATTTCGGTAAATATTGTTCTGACAAATATTGTTTAATATTTAAATAAATGGTTGCACAAAAAGTGTTATGATGTGAACGCCCCTTGAAAGCTGGCAAAGCATTATTACAATAAATTATACTTATCACAAAACATTACGTTAGGCCTATTATATTTTTTTAAACTATGCTTTTAATCTAGTACACTACAGATTTTCCAGATTAGAAGAGTCTGTAATAATAGCATTTCGACCTCACTATATATGTGTCATATCCATTGCCGACGATGCGTTTCGCTCAATTCAGAGCTCTTCAGGCCGGCTGGGATACAACGAACATAGTAGTGGTCGGAATACTATTTTTATAGGTCATTTGTTACAATAACAATTTTTATGGTGTGAACGCCATTTAAAAGCTGGCCAAACCATTACTGTAATCAATTATACTTGTCATAAGACGTTATGTTAGGCCTATTACAGTTTTTAACAGTACATGACGAATATAAGTAAGGATGAAATATTATTGTTATACACTCTTCTAATTCTTCAAAATCTCCAAGTGACTGGATTAAGAATGTCGTGTCAAAAATACAATAAGCCTAACATAAGGTCTTATGACAAGTATAATACATTTTTGCACAGTTGTATATTATTGCTGATGAAAGTCATTTTTCACCAAGTATTCTTTCTGGGTAACATAACTTGTACTAAAGTAAAATGCTGCGTATATTACATGTGATTTGGTAACTTACTCATTACTTGATTATTACATAACTTTGTGTGAAATGTATTACCTGTTTGTAGGTTCGACACAGCGTACGACCAAACGTGAGGGGGTATATCTAAGTCCACTGTCATCCAGGGACCACCAGCTTGTTTATATTGGACTTTAAAAAACTGAATGGGTAGCCCATCATTTTTTTCGACCTTCCATCTCACCATCACAGAGTCATCTGACAACCGCGTTATATTAGGTTTACTAGGGGGCACCAGTTTGACTAAACAATAAAAATAAAAGTCGTCACAAACGTTTCGCTCCAATATAACATGAAAAATACTAACTACAGTTACAGAAACGTAAAAAAAAAAAGAATCACATCACCCGTCCATAAACATATTATTTTAAACAACTTCTTCCCCCGAAAACTGTAGATTGACTATAAACATATTTAAGTATAGAGAGTAAAAAAAGTCTGAAGAGATACTTAACACATAATGTCAACATACAAAATTAAGGCTTTGTTTGCAAACAAAATATCCTCAACTTCTATATAGCATCAGAATCTAAAATATTTCAAGCTTTATACATATATTCAGAATATCATTCAATAGACTATAAGATAAAAATTAATGTTATAAAATATTTCAATTTTTCAGTTAGTTTACCCACAAAAACAAACAAACAATAAAATTTGTTTCACCAATTCACCTTACCTCCTCTGTTAATGACATGTCTGGTCTCACTATTGAGTAAAGAGTCTTCGCTACCCTGTCGTGTATATTCATACTCTTCCACTTTAGAATAATCGAATACGCCACTCTCTGGTGTTGCCACTTCTAAGTGAATAAGATACCAACAAGAACTATACGTAGATATAGAGTTTGACATTGTTCTTATGTCACTTTTGGGTGGTAGTTTAGTTAACTACATATAATAAAGTATTTTAAGGTGGATTTTTTCAGACTTCAATCACGTAAATATGAACTGTTTTAGGTAGTTGATGTAATATATGATTCTTTCTTTTGCAGAATAGTAAATAAAATAAAAACATTTACATTATTGAAAATGTGCAAAACTGCACACATTATATAATTACGCAATATAAATGTATTGGTAAAAAACAGAACATGATCAAAAGTACCTAGCGCTACGATATTTTAGCTAGTGTTCAGACATTACATAAACATCAAATTTGTTATGTTATTACATACTCACTTGTCATACTGTTTTCAAAAGATGTGGATACACTTGGTACAACTTCAAGTTCGCTGTAAGCATAAATGGAATCGAGTTCGTTGCTTGCAAAACACTGATAAATACCAGCTTGTTGACGGGTTACCTTCTTCAAAACTAGAGTACGTCCTGAAGAGCAAATACCAATAAATATACGTTTCATAGAACAAGTGCGTATAGCATGTTATATGAGCATATTTGACGTTTCAGAATCGGAAGTTTCATATTTTCTCTGTAAATTTTCGTGTTAACATACCAATTTTTGTTTCTTGTTTATATTTCCAGAAAGAACTACGGATGATCGGTTTGGTTTGTTTTGAATTTCGCGTAAAGCTACACGAGGGCTATCTGCTCTAGCCGTCCCTAATTTAGCAGTGTAAGATTAGAAAGAAGGCAGCTAGTCATCACCGCCCACCGCCAATTATTGGGTTACTTTTTTACCAACGAATATTGGGATTGACTGGCACATTATAACGCCCTCACAGCTGAAAGGGCAAGCATGTTTGGTGGGACAGGAATTTGAACTCGCGACCCTCAGATCGCGAGTCGAGCGCCCTAACCACCTGGCCATGCTAAGCCCGGATGATCAGTATAGTGCAACTAAAAAAATTCTGAAAGCAATAACTCTCTTGTCTTAGAAAAAATAGTAGCTTATAATTTAAAATAGTAAGAGTCTACTGCTTAATCTATAGTGAAGCAGATAGCTTTATGACCAGCATCAAATTCCTAATAAAAGTGCCTTCATACATTCTCGTTGCCAAATTGGAAAGTAAAAAAAAAAATTAAAGTGATATTAATTTACTGTGACGTGTTTCAACTTTTAAAACCAAATGGTATTTAAATATATTTTTTTGAAATGCGCGTATGTCTGTATTTGATGTAACGTGCGCTAGGCTATTACGAACCTTTATTTTTTACTAGATGACTTTCGGACACAAATTTCCCGTTGTTGATCCATGTAATGGAAAGGGCCGGATAACCATGTGCAACACACTCAAGTTCAACATCCTCTCCTTCGTTAACGCGTTTGTCTTCTGGAGCTTCAACAATCTGCGGTATTTCTGTAGAAAAAGTGAGTATTATGATGTATTTTTCACCTTGAAATTATTCTTTCATTATTCTGCTTTATATTGCTCTTGGAATTTCACAAAAATAATATAACATTCCATGTGGTACTTCAACTCAGACTACCCGTACGTTACACCAATTTTAAAACGTTATTTTCAAACCTTAAAAGGTTCTCCTAACAGTTTGACAAGAAAAAAAACATGAAATAACAACTTGCGGCATGTTAGTGTTCACTCAACTCATCCGGTTTTGCGACTTTCCTATAACGAATACGTTTTGCTCAGTTAATAATACACTTTTTTTTGGAAAACCTTCACTTGAGTGAGCTGAAAGTAATGACGAGGTCGCGTGACAACATGTATTTAGAATGTCAAGAAGATAAAGAAAGAAAACACTGCAAGCGAAATTGCACCAAAACAAAATGTTAATGTTTTCTCCATTATGGAGCTAAAACAAGTCAAATGTTAGCACAAAAACTCTTTAAAAATGTTATTTGCTAACACAATATAGGTTGAAATGAAATTTTAGTTAACAATAAAATATAAAAGCATCTTATTTTGCATTTTTAATTATTTTTAACAAACTTCTTACAAAAGATTTAAATTTGGAAAAAAGTAATTTATTCTATTGACACAACTCATAAATGTTAAAATGTATCTACCTTTCGTTTACAACGTATCTGTTTGTTTGTATTTAAACACAAAGCTGCACAATGGGCTAATTGTGATCTACCCACCACGGGTATCGAAGCCCGGTTTCTAGAGTTGTAAGTCCGTAGACATACCGCTGTGCCACTGGGGGGACTACAATACATCTCTTATTAATACCGCACGAGACTAATGTCACTTGGAACTAATATATTCTTCAAATTATGTTAGATTATACTTTGGTATATTTTCACTCTCTAGAATACCTCGACAACGGTAGACAATCATTCGGCCAAAACTTAACGTGACGTTATATATAATATTTCTCTCAAAATATGTTTTGATCATTTCAGACATTCATATATATATATATATATATTTGACAACAAAAGCAAATTGCATCCGAATCTCTACCATTAAAACGGATATCCCTCTCGGGGTTTTATGTTTGCGGTGGGCGCAGCAAAATAGTTCACAATGTACTTAGCTGTTAAAAAATAACAAAGAAAATATACTGTTGACGCAAAAGCTCTCGTAGCTACATTATTTCAGAGAATATTATAGTATTAATAAAAATTATATTATCTAGTTTCAAATAATTATCTCATTTTAAAAATAATTTCATAATATAACAATTTGTAAATAAAATGATGTAATTTAAGATCTGTTGACAGCTTTCAGTTTACAACATGATCAAACAGGAGTATAACTTTTAAATTCTGCATTTGATAATTCTGAAAATTACTGGTTTACTTTATTTCTCTGTCATTAATCCACCCCCACCAGATGGTTCTGCGGGAAATCTGAGGGCTTATAATGCTAAATATCGTATTTCAATATCTGCGATGGGCAAAACATAGATAGCCAATTGTGTAGGTTTGTGTTTAACAACAAACAAACAGATTGTCATTAACGGAACCTACGTACTTTAGCTAACTACAGAAGAGATTACGAAAAAGATAAATATATAGCTAAAAACAGTATTTTATCTTTGTCGTAAAATATAGGCAAGGAAAACAGGACTATTCTGCTAAGAAAACAATTCAAAAGCCATACCTTGTACTTCCAGTCCAGTTTCTGCCGACGCAAGCCCCACTTCATTCTTTGCAGAACACTTATACGTTCCTTTGTCTTGTTCCAATACTCCAAATAATAATAGGTTACCTACGAATTATAGGAGTAAATAAAAAAATAAACAATTTCAATAAGTGAAAAAAGAAAGTAACGTTAGTAATTTTAGGTAATAGAGTTTACCTAAAAACAAACTAAATAAAGCAAAATCATTTTCTAGGATTGTGGACAACTCTCGTCATTAGCACTGCCTGTTTGAAACGGGGTTATATGCTGTTTTTTGTTAAAATAAATTGCATTTTTTCATAGAGAAATTTTACAATGTATAAAATGGTAGTTGGTGAAGTCACACAGATAGTATGTTGTTTAAACAATAGGATAACCTTAAATAGCTTCAAAGTAAGATGCATATATTCATAATGTTTTTGCACATTACACATTTTTATATAGCTCTCTTTGTTTTCTTGCGGATATTAATTTTATTTTGTTAGACCTGTAAGAAATACAATGGATATTTGTCCAGTTTTAGATGACCGCTTATTTCTTCTCTCTCTCCTATTTTTTTATTATTATTATTGTGAAACCATTTGAACCTATATTACACTGCACAAATAAATTTTACTGCATTCTCTTCTTAACTAATAAACTGGGGTGAGAAGTGGTTGGGTTTTCTTTTTATTGTTTTAAGAATCCGCATCTACTCTTACCATTAAAACGTAATTAATTTTTCATTATCAAGAGTTCTGTTATACAGTAACTATATAACTACTATAGTTGTTTTTATTACAGCACTAACTCGTAAAGTATTAAATAAAGTAGACTTTATCAGACAAAACAATTGTTTCTAGAACATTTGCATAAATGGGGTTGCCTAATTAAATCTAATCTTGCTTCAAGGTTACAAAAACACTGTTCAAGCATCTAGCTGGCTTCTCACGCACTGGGTGTAATACGTTAATTATTTAGTTCTACACGTTAAGCTAATAATCTTTAAATAAAGCTCGTTAATCATAGCAAGTGTACTGACAAAGAAATGTCATTTTAAAAATAGTTGTGTATTCGATTACTTAACAGTAACGTTTTGATTATTAACGAACAACGAAGAGTTAGTTTTCAACTTGCTTTGATGGCGCTTGTCGATAGCTCAAGAAAAGAGGTTAAATGCATAAAGCTTTAAAACTAACGTGTAGGTAATTAGAAATATACAATGTTAATTATAAAAAAGGAGTAATTGGAATTTTCACTTTGATCTGTACGTTAAGCGCACGTGGGCTAAACTTCCAGCTCAGAGATCCCTAGATTTCAGATATAGCTGTCCCTATAGTTTTAGCTACTGACCAAAGGGAAGGTAGCCAATCACCAGCAATCGCATCGACAATGGCTTTGTTCGGCCTTTTCAACCAAATAACGGGTTCGACTCTCACTTTTATAACACACCAAAAGCTGGTAGTACGGATTATGTTCAACGTAATCACCACTTTAACCCACGACCCTTTAAACCTGGAAATTATAATGTTAGCTTAGCCCACGCCTGGCCCATTTTAATTAACATTGATGTTCTTATTATAAAACCTCGATTACAAAAAGTAAATAAAAACTTTTACAAAACGATCATGATTTCAAAAACTAGATAATATATGTTCATTATTCTTAAAAACAGGGATCTAGTTTTAATCATAGTCAGGAGATGTGTGTTTTTTTATGCGATTTTCAAACAACAACGAATATTTTCGAGTTTGGTCTAACATGAAATGTAAACCAATAGTAAAATGTATCATTATGTCGTGAAAGGGGAGATTTTTATTAATAGTCATTTTCCTACATGATATAATGATTTAAAAATATAAAGAAATCAAGATATTATCTAATGGCTTTAAATCAAGTATTCTATAACTGAGTAACAAAAGAACAGAGTATCGTGTGCAGAAGTTAGTGAAAAACTATAGTAAGTGGAACAAACTATCAGAAGTCTTGATATAAGATAAACCAATTCTCTAAAATCAAGACTTTTGAGATCCTATAACTAAACAGTTTTATCACATAAATTACCTGCAACTTGATAATGTCTTCGATGTGGTAAACGTCCACTATTTTTCGACCAGCTTATTTCTGGCGGAGGATTCCCGTCGGCAGCACATTCTAAAGTAACATTGCTGCCAAGGACGACGCTAGTTGTTGAAACAGGAGTCGCGCTCAACACAGGTGGAAAGGTATCAACGGTGTCTGTAACAGAGCGGAAAACAATCTATATATATATTTGTGCTTCAATAAATGATCCTGGAGAATCATTGTTATACAAAAAATAATAAAACCATTTTATGAAACTTCACTGATAGCATTCTCAGATGTAATTGTCACTGAAAACCTGTATTTAGAGCGCAAATAGCCCTCGTGTAGCTTTACGTGAAATTCAAAACAAACCAACAAACCTATATTTAGAAGTGACCACGCAAATTAAATGTTTCCGACAATGCGAAGAGAATTCTACCTACTTTGTTCTGTGTAATATTCACATTGTTATGTAATCATAATTTATACACACACACATATATATATATATTACTAAATTTGAAATACGTCATACCACTTGATTTGAGAAATTACATTTTTATGCTTGTATTTTAAAATCACAAAAAAATCGTGAAAAAATTTATTTTTGTTTTTTAACTTCAATCATCAGTGTATTACATTTAGTGAGTTGTATTTTGTCATTTTGTGAGATGTTAAGTAGCGTAAATACGACAATAAGTTATAGTATCATACATTACATCACATTCATTTACTTCTATAACACAACTGTTATCACTGTAATGTTATCACACAAATACTTATCTCCCCCCCCCCAAAAAAAAAACTCGATTTGGGTAACTGTTTTCTGCAAGACGCTGTAATGTTATCACACAAATACTTATCTCTCAAAAAATAAATAAAAAAACTCGATTTGGGTTATCCATGTGTTACTGTTTTTACAGAAGAAGCGGTATCCATCTTTGCTTTTTTTGCGAAACGAAGTAGATTATAGTAAAATTTCAGAGTTAGAATATATAATATGATATACCAACGACATGATTTATACAGATAGCATAATAATAACACCACAGAAGTACTGGATAATGGAACAGTTCACATTAGTAGCAAAAACAAACACCTTAAATTCTTATAGATTGAAGTTTCAAAAAGTTACAGCTCTCACCAGCTTAGCTAGGACAATGTGAGGAAATGTACCTTGTTTCTATTATATTTATGTATCTACATTTACTTACTAAATCATATTTAGCATATGTAGTTAAATATATTAACAAGCTTTGTGAAGTTACGTTAGGTATCATTTGTCAGTTATCGACGTAATGGGACAGGTGAAGCCACAGACACAGTATTATCAGTCATCGACGTAATGGGACAGGTGAAGCCAGAGACATAGTATTGTCAATTATCGACGTAATGGGTCAGGTGAAGCCAGAGACGTAATATTGTCAGTCATCGACGTAGTGGGTCAGGTGAAGCCAGAGACATAGTATTGCCAATTATCGACGTAATGGGTGTCTCTGGCTTCACCTGATAATTGACAATACTGTCGACGTAATGGGACAGGTGAAGCCACAGACATAGTATTGTCAATTATTGACGTAGTGGTGCAGGTGAAGCCACAGACACAGTATTGTCAGTTATCGACGTAGTGGGTCAGGTGAAGCCACAGACACGGTATTGTCAATTATCGACGTAATGGGACAGGTGAAGCCACAGACACGGTATTGTCAATTATCGATGTAGTGTGACAGGTAAAGCCACAGACACGGTATTTATATCTTATAAAGTAATAAAATTTTAAATATCATGTAAAAACTTATTATTATATACATTATCTAAGAAAATTTCTTGGAAATGAATGTATGTACAGACTCATAAGATAGAAGTATAGGATTTAAACGTCTTTGCATGTATAAGATTTCATCATAGAGTTATGTATAGGATTCTACATATTACATATTCTTGCTCAGAGTTTAGTAAAATAAAAGTGTTACATTTATCAATTGTGATTATTCTTAATAATTTTAATGAAAAGGTATTACTGTTGGTGCATAAAAAAGTATACCAAACTATACATATGTTTCGACGCGTCATGATACTGATGTCTTTCTATGCTTTCAGGTAGATTAAGACGCTAATGCTAGAAGTAAATTGAGATTGAAGAAAAAGAAGAAGAAACACACCTGTTTGAAAGTATGAACGCAAGCTAATGAAAATTAGACTTGTCACGATTTCTGGTGAAGCAAACTCTCCGACAACTAAAACCGGTTCTTGTTTGTGTCGACCTTGAAAATTGACCTATGACCTCTTGATTGTAAGAGCTAAAAGCATACATCAAAATGCTTTCTTTTAAGCTTTAACAATTGTTAACAGAAAATAAAAATTCTGATGACTTTTTTATTGATTCTTTTACACAATCTTTTTTTTTTTAAATCACGTCATTCCGACTTAGTTATTTTTAAGGGCTGAATACCATGGATGCTAAAAAAGCCGACTTGACTTGAAGCGGTTTGAGATCTGGTTAGTAGATAGTAATGTAATAAATTGAATTATGACCAAAATTCTCACGTATGTACTGGGTTTTCAGATATTTAATAAAATCGAAACACGTAAGAACTATTAGTCTATAGTCAATTAAGATAGAAATACGATCATTTATACCTGCATAAACTTAAAAAAAAGGTAAGCTTGTATACCACACTTGCACAAACTTTAAGTGTTGGGATAAAAAAAATCAACAAATAAATAACTACATGCAAAAGTCTCTTTTTGTTTGTAAAGGTCTGTAATTCACATGAATGACAAAAAGTTATAAATGACCGGAGATAATATCTACTCACTTGTTGCTTGAAACTGAAGCCTACTTTTTCCCATAGTGAGAAGCAATAGTTCATAACAGAGAAATATAACATCTATTACTAACATTATAATATTTTGAAAGGGGACATAATTGTCAAATATAAAAATTGAATTTCAGATTTACTTGTTTTATCAGCAGTCACAGTAAAGAGAAGTATAGCGCTCAGGCCCTGCCCCACAAGAAATCCTTATTTTGAGGCCAGAGGTTTGTTTCTTAATTTTCGCGCAAAGATATACGAAGGACAAACCATTAAGCCATTTCAGGCCTGAAGCAAAAGATCTATCGTCGAATTAACTCACGACAAGCAAACCAGGGGATGGTTATTCATGAGTAGCTGTCGGTCATTTTAGTGATTATGTGAAAAAAATATCTGATTGATATATCAGTTAAGAGCTGATGAAATGTTCACACTTACCAGCTTTTTATTTTTATAAGTGTTAAACATTTTAAAATTATCTAAGATGTTGTTTTTACTGTTGACTCATTTTTTTTTTTACTGTGAGAACTTACCTTGAACTTCAAGTATAACTTCATGGTTGGCTTTGACCATATCACCGAGGAAAGGATTGTTTGCAATACACTGATACGCACCACTGTCAGTTGTCTTTACGTCTAAAATCTGTAAATCTCCAGATGGCATCAGTATGTAGCGATCTGCAAGGTTATACAAAGAGTAAAATCAGATAAAAACTTTCTGGTCATTTGATCTAGTTTATAAGTATTGTATGTACATTGTGCTAGTTAAACCTAATTATCATAAACATGTTAATATGAGGACACAAGGTTAAAATTCAAATTAATCACTGGGAATTATGCTAAGTTACATTTTAATTATCTTCTCACTAAGAATAGGGTATAACGTGCTTAATATACTAAAATATAGAGTCTATCGTTTCAGTTGTGTCCATAGTCGCGCTAAACCAGTTTATCCAATTCTGTAGAAGTTCAGTAGTACTTTTTTACTTGTGATACTTATACATAGAACTGTGTGCAAATATGTGGCTAAATTATATTGTGTTAAGTTATTGTAAAATAAACCATCTAAAGCAAGGGAATTAAGATACGGACTAACGCGTGACAAAAACATAAGATACTACATATTTAATTTTGCATCACTGTCAATTGTTTCCAAGGTTAGTGAATCAAAAACACGAAACATGTGTGAACTTCTATTTGCAACTGATCGTCATTCTTTTGGATTACATTTTAATGTCTGACAGTATAACGTTTCAATGTATAGGAACAGAAGTTCGGTACAGTTAGCATACTGAACGAGCTATATGATAAAAAAACCACTTGCATTAATAAAAGCTGTATTTTTTGTTACTATAACATCAATATAACGTTCCTGTAAAATAATATTTGCATTGAATTACACACCTTAATGAAAAAAAAATTGTTTGCTTGTATACTTTTAGAGTAAAGCCACATTGGGCTATCTGCTATGTCCACCGCGGGGAATAGAACTCCGGATTTTAGTGTTGCATAAGCTTACCGCTGTGCCATAAGAAGTCTGAAAAAAATGTTTTCACTCTTGAATTAGAATAACTTATTTTGATGAAAACAACTTTTAAAAACGACAAAAAGCAAATACATATCGTCTACGGATTTACAACGCTAAAGTCTGTGGTTCGATTCCTCGCGGTGAACATAGCAGATAGCTCAATATGGTTTTCCTATAATAGAACAAACAGTAGTCAAATCCTTAAATACTGAGAAACGAATAATACTTTCTTTTTCAAAATAAAACTTATTTTTATCTGTATACGAAATCATAGTTTTAATTCTATAAATTCGGGTCTTGGAAGCTTTTAACTGTACGAGTCTTTCTTAAATTCCTCCTGAACGTTTAAACATTAAAACAATTATTTCTTAAATCTCACTATCCTCTTACATTCAGCAATAAAATTTGTTAATAAACTTTAAGAAACTGTGGTCCTATAAAGATGACGTCATCATTTCCATTGTTAGAATAATTTCAACTTTATCCTACTTTAGAGGTGAGTCAAATGTGTTTAAAAAACAAACTTGTTTAACTTCTTCGTAAAGTGCATTTATTATACGTTAGGTGTGTCTTAATTAGTCAAACACGACTTCAAAACCTGTTCTCATACCAGGATAAAAATCCTATAAACGTAGAACTTATTGGTGGTTAATCAATATACCTGTTCCTTAATGTTCAAAAGACTGCACGAGTTCTACCAGTCGGAGGCGCTTTCAATAACTTTTTAATGAAAACTCACCAGCTTCGTTTTCAAACAATTCACGAAACTATACACAAATACATAAAAAGTGCTATTCTCCCATTCCTAAAGAACACTTCAATATTTTATTCACAGTCGTCGCTGAAATAACTCTTTGAATAAATTATTTTATTATTATTAACGCAACGGACCCAATTTTAAATAGACGCTGTAGCATTTGTTCAGAATTTTAAATATTCATTTAGTATGTTGTACTTGTTTCAGTATTTTATGTAAAACTCAGTTCAGGAACTAATAGATTTTAGGATGTTACAAACTATAAAATTTCCTTACAATATGAAAGCTTTCAAAGCGTAGAAAATGCATTGCTTTAAATATTCTATCTTACAGTCTCTTTTCAAGTTTAAAATATCCTAAGTGTGAGTTGGACCGGTAGGTGAAAACGTTCATAGACACTGTAACGAATTTGTTATTATATACTTATTTTAATATCAAAGTTTATTTGGATTACATTTATATTTAGAAACATACGTGGCTTATACTGTTAAATATGTATTACGAAACTCCCGCCTATTCTCCAAAGTTGTAGAAGATTCTCGGGAGTAAGAATCAACAATATGTGTGTGTACTTAAACGCTTGTGTTAGCGCCAGTATTGTTATGTAAAACTGAAATTTCTAGAAAACCTCCACACG